ACCCATGTGGTGAGAAAACAGATAGCAGGGTAATCTGGAAGGCTACCCGAGGGAGGGTGGTCAGAACTGCGTTTTGGAACAGTGCCAAGCAACAGAACACACATGTTATGGGGTCCTTAAGTGTTACTGATGGCCTCTCTTGGGCTATTAATGTTACCAATGTCAGAACATTTTTCTCCTTAGACTCTAGGAAATACTTACAGATGGGTTAGGGGCAAATATTATTTTAAAAGGATGTTTTATGAAACTTCTTAGGGTATTTGGTGGTAGCAAGGTTTGACTGCAGAGTAAGACAGGTATGAATGCCCTGTGGGATGCTTCAAGAGTGGGGACAAATGGCAGAAAAACTGCAAAGCCCCCAGGAAAAATTCCTTTGATGAAAATAATATCAGTCTACCATGTGTACATGGCGGGTTTGGAAGCCACCATCACAGAGTCACACAGTACTGTGCCATGCACTGTGGCAGATTTGATCATCAGCACCACAAACAGGGAGCAGCTATCATGAGCTGGTTGCCAGATCAAAATCCTTGTCAGGCAGCATATGTACTCCAATGTTTTTTGGTGGTACTGGGGTTTGAACTAGGGCTTCATGTTTGCTAGACAGGCACTCTACCACTTGAGCTACGTATCCAACCCTTTTAGCTCTGGTTATTGTGGAGAGAGGGTCTTGCTTTTTGCCTGGGCCAGTCTGCACCATGACCCTCCTGTTTTAAGCTTACAGCCATCACTGGGATAGCAGGGGTGTACCACCATGCTCAGCTTTTTTCCATTGATACGGGCTTGTGGGCTTTTTGCTGGGGCTGGCATGGACCAGCAATTCTCTAGATCTCAGCCTTCTATGTAGCTTAGGATGACAGTTCTGAGCCACTGACACCTGGCTTTCCAAATGGTTTCATGGTCCTATTTTGAAGAGATCTAAAATGAAGTCCCAAGAGTTAGGTGGCTTGTTGATGGCAGTTAGGATTTCCTGACTCGAGCTCCCTAATTGTTTGCGTGAGTTGCGTCCCTCAAAAAATGTGTTAAGTTCCATGCCAACACCTCAGAATACACCTTGATTTGGAGGTAGAGTCTGGGCAGACCACACCAAGATGGGATGAGGCCGCTAGGGTGACTCCAATCCGTTAGAATTGTCCTTATGAAAGAGGACATGTAGGCACATACATGTAGAAGGAAGACCACGCGGAAAGGCAGGAGAAGCCTGCGTGGACAGTGGGGATTGGAGGGACATGGTCACAAGACAAGGTGCTTGGGGTCACCAGAAGTGAGAGAGGCAGAAAAGACCGTCCCTGGGGTCTTCTGTGGTTACGTGACCCTGCCCACACCTTGGTTTTGGATTTTGGGTCTCTAGACTGTGAGACAGGACATTTCTGTGTCTGTGTCACTTGTGTATAGCACCTGTTACTGTACCTTTAGGAGACTGGTGCTCCATGTAGTGGAAGTTCCCCAGCTTAGGTGGACTTCACACCATGAACTGCTAGGTTCTCCACTCCAGACGTCCAAAGGTGACAGAGGGAAGGCCCGAGACCAGAGGGACAGAGAGACAGAACATCCCTGATGATACCAGTGAGGAGAGTGGAAGAGAGCCAGGCATCCTGGGTATCTGGGGACAGGCATGGATCTCAGTCCCTGAGATCTGAGAGTAGACACCCAGAGCTCTGAATCTGCCCTGGCCTCCGTGTTTCCATGTGAAAGTGATGTCAACACTATCCACATACCGGCCACCATGGCCTGTGAGCCCTTGAACTATGGCCAGTGCAACTGGGCATCAGAATTCTAAAGTCTAGTTGACGTTCTTTAAATACATGCAGTGACTTGCAGCTGGTGACCGTCTGTAGGAGCAGGAGTTACTGCGGGACTGTGTTGTGGCCTCTGGTCCCACTGGCGATCTGCAAATGTGAGCCCTCCTTGGGTTGGTGCCTACAGAGGAGGTGGGCAGGTGCAGTGAGACTTTGAAGTCTCTGTTTTGGGGACACATTCTCAGTTGGAAGAGTCTGAACCTGTGATGCCTGGAGGTTTGCAGGGATGGTCCTCAGAGCAGTGTGATGGTGTGTCCTTGAGCACAAGGACTCTGGGTAACTCTAGCTGCCTGTGATGTGCAGAGCACAATGTGTATAATTATCCCCAGTGGTTAAACACTCTCACAGAATAGGCAGGTTGAGTGGAATTGAACTTTTCAAAGTGCCTTTGGGCAGGCAGAGTAATTTCATTCTCCTTTCTGCCTTCTGTAAATCCTTCAGAAAGGAGGAAATAAGCCCATTATGCTGCCGCCTGGCTGTTCCCTTCAGCCATGGCCACTGCCAGGCAGTGATGTGTGCTCAGTATTTGTGGGGCTGAGGCTCCCTCCAGGATTTAGCACAGGTGTCTTGCCCAGGACCATGACTGGGGGGGGACATTGTCAAGATTAGCTATGAGCACCATTTTTGAACAAATTATCTGCCTTTAGGAAAATCAAGGTGAATTATTCCGTGGGCAGTTTATGACTTCTCTTGGCTCCTTATATTTTCCTGTTTGGAGTTGAATAAAAAGCTACTTGATGTTCAAAAAATGATTTGTGGTCCTAGCAGGGAGGAAGCATTGCTCGGATGGGACTGTCAAATGGATGCTTGAGTTGCATGGTGGCTTTGCTACTTGGCTGCAGCCTAGTGCAACTCTGAGGGAGCTGGAAGCTGGAGCAGGAAATCACCAGAGTCAGGCACCATGGCCCCTGCACTGAGCCATGGGCTACTGTCCCTGTGACTAGGAGCAGTTGGTCCTGGGGATTGTACGCCAGATATGCTGAGGTGTTTGATCCTATAATTTGTGGGTCTCATACTGATCAACCCTCATGAGACGTGGCCTTAGGACACAGTCCTCAGCATGCTATCTCTTCAGGGTTCAGGGGATGGAGCCCTTCTCTGATGGCTTCTGCAGAGTACAGCCTTCCAAAGTAGAAAACCCACCTCAAAGGCAGCAGAGTGGTCTCCCCGCATCGTCATGCCAGCTCTCTGTATCTGTGCACTGTCAGAGACCTGAGTCAGAGGACCTGAGTGCTTGGCACCACACCCAAGGAGGGCACTAGCTGGGAGGGAGGTGGCTGTCCTGAACTATGTCTGCTGAAGCAGATGACCAACGCAGAGTCCTCCCCACTACATCTCCCTCCCACACACATACCTTCTCATGCCATCTTACGACCCTCTTCAAAGCTATAGAATGTCACTTCCCCTTGATTTTCATCTGGACTGAATGTGGCCCTTGGTATGGTGGAGTGGTGACACTGTAGCAGGAACACACACTTGAGATGCATTTGTGGGGTGGTTAGTTGTTGAACTGGAGCTAAGGACAGGTAGTAGGGGATGCAGAATTCCATTGTGACCACATTCCATGGTCTGTCATTCCTTAAAAAAATTAACCTCATGCAGCACCTCTGATTGTTTTGCTGGTGGTGAGATCAATGTAAAGTGACCAGTTACAAGGATTCAGCAGTTGACTGGTCAGCTTTTGCTCCCTGGACCTCAGTAAGTGGTGGGAAGCCAGAGGATTTTGTGGGAAAATATCCTGAACAGTAGGCTCCGTGGAAGCTTCATTTGGAAATGTGTTTTCATTCTCCAAGTGGGTCAAGTAGGGTACACATTTTTCAGACTTACTGAACCACTTTGCATCATGTGAGGGAGACTGGTATGGACATCTAGGCTCTGGGAAGTGCTGAAAGAGGGAAGTAAATGAGTGCACTGGCTGTGGAATGAGGAGAGTGGAGCCATGAGGAGCCTGCAATGAGCATGGTGGAATTTAACGGTACGTGTGTCATTGCATCCTTGTGGACTGAGGGACCAGGGCTGTGGTGGGGGGAGAAAAGGGTCAAAAACAGCCTGTAGTTCAGTCCTGGCCAACGGAGGACATAGATGGCGTCCACATAGGAGAAGAGGCCGGAGCTGGTGCTGCTGTCCTTATGTCCTTGGAGTTTTATTGACTGGTGATCTCACAAAGGTGCCAGGTGCTGATTTGATGGTTGCCTTCTGTTTTCTGTCCTGGCAGATTGAGTTGAAGGCTGCTGAGGCTGTCTTGTGTGTGGTCAATTACACTGAGAAGACTTGTTCTTTCCTCGACTAGGGTGTTTGGAGGGGAATGGACGGGAGAGGGATGGCTCCTTCTGAGAATAATGAGTGTTTTCGTTCATGGTGTGCATGGGCACCTGTTCACCCTCAGCCGGACTCTGAGGTGTCTCTCTGCGGCACCCTTGGTTCCTCTGTGTGGGGCCCATTGCTGTAGAGGAAGTGATGGTGGATTCCTGGCTGAGAGCATTGGGTGGCAGCTCCTGTGAGACTGAGAGATGGTGGCACCTTGTCACATGGAGTGCATGAATAAGAGTATGGCTTTCCCCGAGTGAGCTCCAGAACTCTGGAGGCTGAATTACAGAGTGCTCACCGGGTTCCTCACTGCAGAGCTCCTCCAGCCTCTGGTTCACAACTGCTTTACATTCTTGCAAAAACCATCTCTATGTTTGCCTTTCCCTCATTTATTAAACAAGATACTTCGTTTATCTTTTACTTCCAGCTCTGAATACAACACAACCCTCACATTTACTGGTGACTCATCTCTGGTGAGCATATCTTGGCTCAGGTCCATGAAGAAGACCCAGGCTCCATTTTTCAGGCTCTAATTGTGTCTAAAGTTTAAAAGCCTTCACAAAAACTGGCGGGCCCATTTACCTGTGTGCAGCAGGCCCCAGAGTGTGGCTTTCGAGGTCCCTCTGTGTCCACTATGTAGTCCTTCACCTGCACACCAGCCCCATCCCAGAAGCAGCACACAGCCAGCACACTTGCTGATTAACCTTTTTGATGACAAATGTGTGTCATCCACATTCATCTGTACTATTTAATTTGTGAGACCATCCTGGGTGTGATGACTTTGTGCAACATTGAGCGACCTTATTAGAAAAATTCTCATGACAGTTAATGAATGAGGTACCCTCCTCTTCGTGAATAATAACCAAGCCCGTTTTATTTATGTGTTTTGAACAGGTTCTGCCCGGCATCCTGCAGAAGCACTGCTGCATCCTACCAGACAGGAACACAGGTACGGCCACCTTCTTTCTGCACTTTGAGATCACAGGTTGTGAACCAGTGGCAGCTTTGAGAGAAGCGATGCCGATGGTAGACGTTTTGTGGGTGTTTTTTAGTTGATGTTTTTAGTACTTTGTTATTTATTAACTGAAAGAAGCAGAAACGATCGATACTTCAGTGCTATATAGTGAGTGATGAATGGAGCTCAGAGGTCTCTTTTTATTGATAAAGGAAATAGTTAGATGATTGTTGTCTTGGATTTTTAAGGGGGCTGGTTGTCTTATAAAGTTGGATATGTTAGTTCCAAATTTGCTTATTATACTTATTTACTAGGAAGCAACTGCAGAGATGACTAGTGTGTGGTATGTTTGGAGTCCTTGGCAGTCCAGGCCTTTCCTGGCCATCAGTGTGGGTGCTGGCAGATGCCATGTTCTTGGGGTCTCAGTGGGCACCTGCCTGTTGTGCCCTGTCATGGGCAGATGGGGGTGGCTGCAGGTTGAGGTGCGGTGCTCTGTGTTGCCCCTAAGGAAACGGGGTAGAGAAGAAGGTCTAAAAAACCCTTTGGAACTTACTTTAAACGAGAAAAGAGAAGTGCAGTGTGTCATCCTACAGATTTGTATTTCAGTTACTCTCCTGCATCGAGCTTCTGATTTAAGTTGTTTTCATCGTGGAAACCTTGGTCTGAGGAACGAATAGAGGAGGTGGCATGCCTCCTGCAGAGGACTCTGGTAGAATTAACTCGGTCTGAAAATCAATCGTATTCTGTCAGACACGTGTGTATATTTCGGGATATTTTTGTTGGGTGTGAAATAGGTTTGCTGACCTTTCTTCACTTGTTTTCTGGCAGTAACAACCATCTAGCTATTGACGGCAATCTACTCTAAGATAATCAATAGGTTTTCTCTGCTGAGATTTACTTTGATGTGTAGCCTCGTAACCCCGACTGGCCAGCGTGCTCACTGAGGGATTGGAGGACTTTGCTGTGTCCTAAACTTCAGTGTATCATGTCAGGTATTTTGGGAAAATAAGATTATGGATAGGTTATGTTTCTGACTGCTTTCTGCCCCTGTTTTATGTCTACCTATTGAAACCTATCTTGGCTACAAATTTGAGCAGATTTGCTGCACATGAAGAAGCATGTTTGTAACATGGTTGACTTATTTTTTGAGCCTCTTTGTTTTTGGAAGGTTTTGGTTGTAGTGAAAATACACAAGCACATCACATATGAAGAAACAGAGGTCGCTGCCAGCTGTCCATCAGCAAGGGTGTGCGCATTGTGGTTTCAGAAGGAGTTCATGTCCAGATGCGTCGTCCCTTGGTTTTTGAGAAGTGTCAAGAACAATGGTGAAATGCATTTGAAACTAGGCACTGTTCCCCGAGGTTCTCAGTAGATTTTAAGCAGTGAAGTGAATTGCTGTATTTTGAGACAGTTTGTGGTACACAAAGCTTCAAGCTAGTGTGTAAGATATGGCTAACTCAGGACTTCATTTCCTATGAACCCAGGTTCCCAGACCCTACACCCAGGAGAGCCGCCTCCACGGAACCTGGACCGTGGAGGATGCTGGTCAGGTAATCCCTGGAAATTCTCTTAAGCTCCAGAGACTTCACCTTGAAGTCAGTAAGGGCCTAGGCTGTGCCTTAGGTGTGAAGGGAAGGAACTGCATCAAATTGGAGAGGAGGAGGAATCCTGGGCTGAAATGACAACTCTGCAAAGCATGCGTACATTTAGAATTTTGGTTTCTACTGCAGCATTAGACCTACCATGTCCAGGCTGCTTAGTAATTAGGAAATCTTGTTTGGAAACATGCACTGACTGCCTTTGCAGCTCGGGGCAGAAAATGTCCTTATAAGCATGAGTGTAATTAGCTTGTACTGTGCCAATTTCCGAGCCTAGCTTCCACTATTCTTGATTAAGGAGGTCAGCTTTGGGGTGGGCGCATGTTTCCATTTCAGAAGATGAAAATTGTTCTGCAGATGGGTGGTGATGAAGGCTGCACAGCGAGGTGAATGTGTTCAGCACTCTGAGCTGTGCACTTGTAAGTGGTAAGGACAGAAATTGGATGCTATGTGCACTTTACCACAATTAAAAAAATGATTGACTTCAGGATGAGTCACCACTTATTTTCTTGTTTGGTTTTTCTTTGCTTTATAAATGCTGTATCTTCCAGTAACTTTGTATATGGTATATGTTTCTGAATCGAACATGGCTGCATTTGAGAGGTAAACATATCACCTTTTTTTTGTTAATGATGTGAAGACGTAGACTGAAGTCATTGACTACTTGTCTATACTGCCTGGTTTGGGAATTTGTTTCAGGAAAACAGGCATGGGTGGGAATGCAGATTTCTTTAATGAGGAAGGTCACTGCATTTGGAAAGCACAGATGTGAATGCTGATGTGGTTTTTAAGAGAGACAGGTGAGGACTTGTGATGTGGTAGAGCAGCAGTCTTCACTCCCAAATATTCTTTCCTTTTCTCGTTTTGGTGATTCCTACTAGTATGACCTTATTTTGCCTTTGGACTACAATATATGTACCTGGAAAGCCCAGCCATGGAGCTGTGTGCATGGGACACAGGGAAGCTGGACCCAGGTGGGATGGCCACTGGCAGGTGGACTGCCACTGCTGTGTGGTACCTTTGTCTCTCTTAGCCAACTTTTATTGAAATTGGCTGCTAAATTCCCTCCCTCACACTCTTTGTTGGTAACGAACTGTAAAGGAATCACCAATGGAGGGGACCCCAGGGCTCCATTTCCCGGACACCTACCCTTGTCTCTGCTGCCTGGCTCTCTTGCACCTGGATTCAGGCTGGCAGGTCTTGGATGGACTCAGGTCCATAGCACATCCCTAATTCCCCTGCCAGTTTGGAAAACTTCCTGAGTATACATCATTTTGTTAAGATTGGCTATTTCCTGGGTGAACATTACCCTGTCTTTTCATTTTTTTAGGCAGTTTTCCCACTCCTTTAGACATGGCTATCTCTGTAATTTGCTTTAATGCTTTACACCCTTAACTTGTGGTGGTGGGGAGTTTGATTCTTTGTTGGCATAAGTGATTAATCTTCTGTTTCATAGCATTTCAGGAGACTTTGGAAGATTTGCGTGTAATTTACTTAGGAAGAACACTGGGGAATGCATCAGTGGTAACTGTCGTAAAGGAGAATGTAGACTGCCCATTCGTATTTCCCCCACAGCGAGATCTGCACAGTGAGCAGGCTGAGGCTCTTTAGTTCTTAGTGGGTCTGTCTTCCTGGCTTCATTATCCACAGAATTTGTTCAGAATCTCGTGTCATTTGGGGGAACAAAACTTAGGCCCTCCCATGAGCTCTTTTATGTGGGCTTCACAATGGGCTGGGCTCTGACTGTTTGCCCAGCTGCCTCGCAGCACCCGTGTCTGTGAGATGGTCTGTTCCTGACAAGAATAACGAGACTTCAGGAAGGAGTCAGTCTTGCGATGTGGTGACAGCACTCACCGTGCAAACTGACACCAGTGACTAAATGATAAAACCACACACAGACTGAGCATGCAGGGAGATTTGACTTCTGGGGTTACCACCCTCCTAATGGGCAGGGAACTCGAGAGGATAGTGAAACATGTCATTTATAGAAAGTCGAGTGGAAAGATCTTAACGATTCCCGTGTGTTTGAGGGTCTGATTCTTGCTTATTTGCAGATAGTTTATCAAGCATCACTATCCCGAGTGTGGGATCCTTCTGTAAGGTGCTGATCAAAGTTTACCAACCAGCTTTTCAGTGGGGTGAGGCTAGCCCCCCCCCCACTCTTAGTGTTTGCCAATTTCAGTTTGTAAATTCTCTTGCTAGTCAATTTCCAGCTGTGCTGAAGGTGCTGAGTGGCCTCACCTTGACCAGTTTTCCCTCTCCAGCTGGTGGAGTCAGCTCCAGGGCCACGGTTTCAGTCCTACTTCTGCACAACTATCCTGTGGCACTTGTCTTGGTGGCCGTGGTGCGGGTCACTTAGCTGGGTATCAGTGGGATGAAATCTTGGGTGAAAATCTAATGTTTGTAACAGGGTGCTTACATTTTACGATACACAGGTTGAACAGATACTTTGTTGAATACATACACATGATTCCATAGGACTCTGGAGGCCTGCAGGGTAGTAGACCGAAGTGTGCATCATTAAACTATCCAGTGAGCAAGAGGGCTGTTGAAATAGGAGCAGCTGCTGGGTGGTTTGCATACCGAGTTCAGAAGGCACAGGACACATCGTTGGGGATACCTGTTGTTAAAATAGCAGGAAAGACTGTGGCGACTCTAAATCCCTGGATTTCTTGTGAACTGAGGTTTTCAAGAGCTTCTGATTTTGTGGCTAACAAATACGGGGAAAGCAGGAGTTGACTGGCTGCCTTTCCAGAGGCCTGTTTGCAGGGGACATGGCTCACAGGGTCTGGTAGTGGGGACACTGACAGTGAGGGTACACATGGGAGCTGAATGTCACTTCCTTTGTTCTATCTCTAACTTGACATGATTCGTAAAGGCGAGGTGGCTTCCTGGCATTACATCTGAAGTCTCACTGCCTCTCTGTAGTCGTCTTGGTTTGTAGGTGCTCTCACTCCAATGTTGCTAATGCTGCCTGTGAGGAGTTGCCTTGTTTTTTTTTTTTTTTTTTTTGTCTTTTTTGTTTTGCTTTTTTTTTCTATTTTTTCCTTTTTTTTTTTTTTTCAGTGCTGGGGACCGAACTCAGGGCCTTACACTTGCCAGGCAAGCGCTCTTCCACTGGGCTAAATCCCCAACCTGTGAGGAGACAGACCAGAGGCATGTGGCTTTCTGCCCACACAGCTGCTGAGGGTTCTGTGTAGCTCACACTCCAGTTTATCCCTCGGTGTCATCCTGTGGCACCATAGGGACTTCCGTGAGTCCTGACTTAACGCATGTGATTTTCTGACCAAGCATAGTGCAGGAAAACACAGTGCAGGTAAAGAATCCTGAGTCCAGCCAAAGGGTGGGGTGGTGGGGCGGCCCCTGCAGCTCCTGGCTGAGCTGTGCTGAGAGGGGGTGTGTGATCGTGAGCAAGTGTACAAACTGGGG